ACGTAGCAGGATGTGTTGGCATTTTTTTTAGACATGTGCTATATAGGAGAAAAGTCAAAGCAGTTGGGATCATCCACAGTAGGAGAGAGGTTTAGGAGCCATGATGGATTCCTTCAGAGATCTGAAGGTCTCTCAGGTTAGAGAAGAATTGGCTCACTCTTGATTCAGAAGGTGAATCTAGAACACATAGACAGAGGCTGAATTGCGGTATACTTTTAAAAGCTGTTTTTATTTATTTGAATGGTACAATGAAACAGGCTGCTTCATAGCATAGTGACCCTCCTGTCACTCAGTGGGAAGGGGTCGGTTAAAACACCTAATGGAGAGACTGAGATGCCCTGAAAGGGGCGCTTGAAATGGGTAGAAAGTTGCACATCCTGTTGTATTTTTGCAACTGTGATTCTTTTCATTTTGAAATTCAAAGCTAATGCCATGTGAAGAGTTACTGTAGTTTATCTATTGTATAATCTGGTTTGTTCTCTGTGAGGTTACGTTATGACTATTTATGTTTTCAAATTTCAGTAATGTTTTTCCATGATAATTTTGAGACTGTTCACATGACTTAGTGTTTAAATATCAGTAGGTTTGCATAGTGACTATTGATAAGCCCCTTAAACATTCATATGCTGTCTACTTGATTCTTTTCTGATTTCAGCAAGATTCTAAGCCAGAATTTATCTGATTATCCTAAAAATTTTACAAAATGCACATACATGCCCAATGCACAAATTTTGGTTCTTTGTTTTTGAAGCATTTTCTTACCATCTGATATTTTATCTTTCAAGTGGATGTGGTATTAATACAAACAGAATAGATTTACTGTAGTTCATAGATAAAATTATAAAAATATAATGATATATCCTTCCATCCCTTCCCTCCTACTCTCTCCCCCACTGTTTTAGTTTTTGAGGTAACATATTTTTAATTTACAGTTGAAGGCTTAATGCTGCATTAAAAAAAAGGGTTCAACAAGTAAAAAGACCCTAGTTCAGCAGGAATATGGGTAAGGGCCATAAACAATCAAGTGGAAAGATGACAATTTCACTCATATGCAGTGAATCTTATTAGAAATATAAATTAGGAAATAGTAAAAAAAACTAAACCACACAAAACAACAGTCATGAAGAATAGAAAGTAAATTTTCTAATTATCTTTCAGCAGTCCTGTGGTGAAGAGAATTCCTTTGGATACACTTGTCCACCTGCACTATTGCCTTTCTCCTAGACACACTTTTGTGCCCCCCATTACTTTCTTTGCTTCTTTGCTGCCAACAAAAAAAGGTATATTAGGTCTTTCAATTTTAAATTTTGCTGCTCCATGGTAGTGTACTCCAGTATATATATAGTTTCTGTTTTTCTTCAGGTTTTGGAACCAGTTTCATTTTGGAATAGGGCCTTGGAATAAGGGCAGTTGTCCTCATCATGTTTTATTTTGAGGCAACCTGGAGATTCTCAGAACCCAGTTAAAATACCACCTGAGGCTCATGGGTGCAACACCTGGCAGGTTATCAGGCCCAGTAAATGTACAACCCTAGGAAACTCATAGGGTCTTTGTCCTGGCTGTGGCTTAGTTGAACATTCTTATTCCAGACACAAAATTTAGGCTGGTTAGTAAGATAAAAAATGAGGGTAAAAAGACCTTCTTAATGAAGACTATTTACAGGCCTATTTGAATTTATCATTTTATAAGAGGGGAAGGGGCTGTCACTGTCACTCAGTGGATTAAGCCACTGCTTAGGATGCCAGCAACCCACCTTGGAGTGCCTAGTTCAAGAACTGGCTACTCTGTGCTTCCCATCTAGCTTCCTGTTAATGTGCCTTGGAGGCAGCAGGTAATTACCCAAATACTGAGGTTCCCACCACCCATGGAGGAAACTCAGAAGGAGTTTCTGTCTCCTGGCTTCTGACTGGCTTAGCCCTAGCTAATGTGGGCATCTGGGGAGTGAACCAGCAGATGGAAGCTTTCTCTCTCTTTCCTCTCTCTCTCTTTATCTCTGTTACTCTTTCAAATAAGCAAGGACAGGCAGAGTGGATAGTGAGAGAGAGAGACAGAGAGAAAGGCAAATAGAATCTTTTTTAAAAAATAGGAGAACTGTGGTACAATGAAATATTATTCAAAAAACAAGAGGGAACTACTAGTTGGTGAAGAGCTATGTTTGTAGTAATGTCAGAACACAATGTAGCAGTTACCTGGCTTTCTAGGGCACCAAAGGTCATCAGAGTAAAAATCATTGTTCAGGTTCATAGCCATTATTTGTGGTCCTACATTGTTCTCCACAGGCTGCTTGTGTGGGGTTAGGTTAATTACGCAGCTATAATGGAAGGTGATAATCTCTTTGTGTGTTAGAGTCCTTGTTTTGCCTATTAGCAAACGCTCCTTAAAAGTTGTCAGACTTACTGAATATTTTCATCTGATTACATAGACTTAGAGAGATGCTTAAGCTTACATTTAATAAGAAAATGTGAGGGGCTGGTGCTGTGGCATAGTGGGTAAATCTGCCACCTGCAGTGTTGGCATCCCATATGGGTGCCAATTCAAGTCTTGGTTGCTCTGCTTCTGATCCAGCTCTCTGCTATGGCCTGGGAAAGCAGTAGAAGATGGCCCAAGTCCTTGAGCACCTGTACCCTTGTGGGAGACCTGGAAGAAGCTCCTGGCTCCTGTGTTGGGAATGGCACAGCTCTGGCCGTTGTGGCTTCTGAGCAGTGAACCAGCGGATGGAAGGAAGACTCTCTCTCTCTCTGCCTCTCTGTACAACAGCTCTGCCTTTCAGACAAATAAATCTTTTTTTTTTTCTTAAGAAAATGTGAGATTCAATCAAAAATCTTTATTGTCCTTCACTTTTGTTATGCACAGATTTTCCTTTTGTCTTTATTTTTGTATACACAATTGCATTCCTTTGGTGGCAATAAATATTTGTAGAAGGGGAATAGGTATGTCACTATCTCTCTTTTCCTCCATCAATTTTCTGTAAATGCACACACACACACCCACACATACACCTGACTTCAGGCAACTGATACTGTCTTAGATAAGGCTGAGCTGTATTTACCATTTCTCCATCCTCCTGTCTGCTGGAGTTTCTTTTTGCTCACCCTCATGCATTAATATATTTGCTGTTGCTACAAGAGGATATCTGAAGCTGGATTCTTTTTAAAAAGAGAGGCTTATGTAGTTCACCTCTGGAAGTCCAAGAGGTTGGCAGCAACACCTTCTCTGCTCAGGTGAAGGCCTTCTGGCTACATCATGGCACGGAAGGTGACATCATGGGAGCATGTATCAGAAGCACTGAGCACGTGGTCAGACAGGAAGCCAGAGATTTAAGAGCTAAGCTTTTTCTTTTTATGATAGCCTTCACTTGCAGGAACTAACTGGGTGAACTAGGTTAACATCTTCCGACAGTAGTTCTCCCAATGACGTAACAACCTCTTAAAGGTTCACCACCTCAACACCACCACACTGTGGACCTTTGGAGGACACTCAAACCATGCCTAATCCACAACACTACTCAAGAGAAAGCTCTAATTATCAGTCAGCTTTAATGGGAAATGAAAAATAGAGTCTTGCCTCACACTCTCCAATAGAACTTTCTGCAATTATGGCAGTATTCCATTACTTGTATTTTTTTCCCATACAATACTGTGCACTTGAAATATGTACCTGAAATGTGGCTAGTGAGATTGAAGAACTAAATTTTAAATTATATTTATTTTTAATATAGTTTAAATAGCCATATACAGCCATTGGCTACTGTATTGGACAGTTTAGCAATTGCCAAAGAATTCCTAAAATCAAAATAGATATTGAGTAAAAAACAATTTCTCAATGGGATTCACCATTTAAATGCCTATTTTCTATATTGAACCAAATGGTACTCAGAAGTAATGCAGGATCTTTTTTGTTAGATGTTAAGATGATCATAAAAAATATGAGAAGAAGTCAACTGCCTAAGACATTTGTAATTAAAAAGAGATTGCTCTCTATTTTATGCCATGTGATTTACCTACTTTCTTTGCTATTATTTCATCTATTATTTTCCGAGATACTGCTTGTCCTTTCTGTGTAAGAAAGGAAACTGTTGCACACCCATTTAAAGTAGAACCCACAGTCACAGAGTCAGTAAGCAGTGGAGTGAAGCTTTGAATCCAGGTAGGGTTCTTCTTCATTTCTCTCACAATGAATACTTCCCATATGGGCTTCTACAGCACTTGTGTATGCTTCCATAGTCATTGCTGGGGAATAGAACAGGGATCAAGAACTTGAGCCTTGGCACCACATGTCTAATTTGAATCCTCCCTCTACTACCGAGCATGTATATGGACTTGAGCAAATTACTTAATATCTCTCATCATCAGTTTAATATGGAAATAATAAAGGTATCAACTCTTCATGTTGTTGTGAGGGTTAAATAAATTATCAGTACCTGGCACATTGTTTGGATGATACGTATTTGCCATGGTCATTATTTTTGAGAGAGACTGCTATTTGCATTAATAGCATATTTATGTTAATATAATATTGTTAATTGATTTGATGTTTAATAAATAAAATGGAGATATGGTTTGGGTGTACTTCCTGAGTAAATAAGAGAGACTGTAATAATTTCGATAATTCAAAAAGAAACACCCTGCTGTTCAGACACTTTGGTGTCTCCATCACCGGGATTACAAAGTTTCAGAGCCTGCATTCCTAGCCAATTCCTCCTATCTTTGCTTTTCATGTTACCCTCATAGGCGTCTCCTTTGGTGTCTTTGATTGGTTCTGAATGCTGAGCAGTGACAAGCACCAACACAGCTGGAAGGAGCTGTAAGATTTGCTGTTCTGTCTTCCAGCAGGGAATTATTGCCATGGATACCAGCATCAGAGGAAGGCTGGGGATCACTCTCCACTTGCCTCCTGAGTGTCTGACATCTGTTTCTGGCAAGACCAATAATGAGTGTGCTGCTAGCTTCATATGCAATGGGAGGCTGATCCAAAGCTCTTTTTTTCTGTTGTTATTACAGATGGCCTCTACCCAAGATGCCAGATATGGCCAGAAAGACTCCTCTGATCAGAATTTCGACTACATGTTCAAATTGCTCATCATTGGCAACAGCAGTGTGGGGAAAACATCTTTTCTGTTCCGTTATGCGGATGACTCCTTTACATCTGCATTTGTCAGCACAGTTGGCATCGATTTTAAAGTAAAAACTGTATTCAAAAATGAAAAGAGAATCAAACTTCAGATTTGGGTAAGTGACTTTGAATTGATGCTCTTTGGTCTATGGCATTGAGCATGTAAGTGTGTAAGAGAAAAACATTCCCCCTCATTCTGTCCCTTGGGTCAACAAGCCTTAATTAACAAGCTCTCTTGCTGCACAACTTTCTGTAACACAGTGGGGTAATGCCTTTTGAAGGTCTAAGCACTGAATTATGTCTTGTGGACAACTTATGTGCCACAAGGGTCTTCAAGAGGGAAACACCCACACTTCTGTCATGTTAGTAGTGTAAGGAACACTCCATGAGAAGTCTAGTTCTTTTTCATAATTGGTATGACTTTGAACAAGTCTCAGAATACTTCCGGGCCATTTTGGTGATCTATAAAATACGAGAAATAAATCTGGTCCTTTAAGTCACAGGAAGCAACCTGCCATGGCATTTTAAAGGAGAATATAAACAAGCAAATGTAGGAAAAGTTTAAGGTTGAATGCCTTGAACAAAAACCCCACATGTAACTTTGAACATGGTCATTAAGGGTACTTCAAAAAGTTCATGGAGAGTTGAATTAGATGATACATTGATTTTGATGCAGAAAAATATTTTTTTAAAGATTTATTTATTTATTTGAAAGTCAGAGTTACACAGAGAGAGAGAAAGAGAGGTCTTCCATCTGGTGGTTCACTCCCCAATTGGCCGCAACGGCCGGAGCTGCACTGATCTGAAGCTAGGAGCCAGGAGCTTCTTCCGGGTCTCCCGTGTGGATGCAGGGGCCCAAGGACGTGGACCATCTTCTACTGCTTTCTCTGGCCATAGCAGAGAGCTGGATTGGAAGTAGGGCAGCCAGGTCTCGAACTGGCGGCCATATGGAATGCCAGCGCTTCAGGACAGGGTGTTAACCCACTGCACCACAGCGCTGACCCTGCAGAAGAATCTTAAATCCATGCATATGAGGAAATTTCAGAAAGTTCATGAAAAATGCATATTAGTTGAAAAAAGTATGCATGGATTTCAAATTCTTTTTGTACCTGAATAAATATATATTTATTTCCCCTTTTTCATGGACTTTTTAAAATACCATTTCACAGACTTTGTGTTTTTAAGTCTCATAACCATATCTATTTATACATTCAAATAAAATAAAAATGTGTTTGAAACAGGGTACTCATTTTAAATTTTTAGAAATTTTATTTTATTTGAATGGCAGAAAAACAGAAAAAACTGGTTCACTCCCCAAGTTCCCATGAAGGCTAGGGCTAGACCAAGATAATAGTATAAGCCATGAGCCAAGGATGTGATTGAGAGCTCTTCAGGTGGGTGATAGGAATCGAAGCACTTGAGCCAGTATTACTGTACCCTTGAATCTGTATTGGCAGAAGGGCAGAGTCAGGAGCTGGAGCTGGAATAACATTCCGATATTTCGATGTGGAACATGGTATATTCACTGCTAGTCTAAATGCCTGCTTAAAATCTTGCCTTCTGAAATATGGCAAATTGAAGGAAAGAAAAATTTCAGGGGACAGTCATTTTGCTCAGCAGTTACGATGCTGCCTGGGCTTCCCATATCTCATATCCAAGTCCTTTGTTTGAGTTCCAGCTTTGCTTTGGATACAGCTTCCTGCCAGTGAATACCCTAGTAAGTGGTGGATGATTGCTCAAGTAGTTGGATCTTACAATTCATGTAGACTCAGATGGATCCCTAGGATCCTGTCTTCAGCCTGGCTAAGCTGTAACTCTTGTGAGCAATTGGGAAGTGAGCCAGTGGTTAGAAGGTTTCTCTCTCTCTCCCTCCCTCCCTCCCTTGTCTCTCTTTCAAATAAATAAATATATATATAAATAAGATTTTTAAAAGATTTTATTTATTTATTTGAGAGGTAGAGTTACAGACAGTGAGAGGGAGAGACAGAGAGAAAGGTCTTCCTTCTGTTGGTTCACTCTCCAGATGGCTGCAATGACTGGAGCTGCGCCTATCCGAAGCAGGAGCCAGGAGCTTCATCCTGGTCTCCCATGCAGGTGCAGGGACCCAAGCACTTGGGCCATCTTCTACTACTTTCCCAGGCCACAGCAGAGAGCTGGATTGGAAGAGGGGCAGCTGGGACTAGAACCGGTGCCCATATGGGATGCCAGTGCCTCAGGCGGAGGATTAACCTACTGCGCCATGAGGCCAGCCCCAATAAGATTTTTTAAACAAGAAAACAATCCAGAATAAGATATTTAAACTTTTTTTTAAATACAAGAACCCTGTATTAAAACATCTGATAAAAATGGAATGGCCTGGCCTCTAAACATCTTAAAATGTGTTAAAAGTAAAATTTGTGTTTTATTAATATAAAGAGAACAGATTTCCTGTATTTCATAGGTGCAGTTCTAAGAAGTTAACCAGACTTCCCTGCTTCTCTCATACCCTCCTCCAGTCTACCTCCTTCCTTCCTTTATTTATTTTTCTTTAATTTTTGCAAGGACATAATTTTAACTCACTCTATAATCACAGGCTTTATTCACCACTAACTGTAATATTCCACAACTAAAAAGTAGGGCAGGAGTATAAACAGTTTCACAGGAGTATAAACAAAGGCTAAAAACAACAATAATATCACAATATTTCCATTTCATTCCTATATATTTTTGTATTCTATATTAGCATATCAGAAAAAATGTGTGATACTTGTCTTTTTTGAGACTGGCTTATTTTACTAAGCATAATGGTTTCTAGTTTGCATCCATTTTGTTCCATATTATAGAACTTCACTCTTTTTTATGGCTAATGTTCCATAGTGTGTGGAACATTATACATATATACACACCCCGTTTTTTTATTCAGTCATCAATTGATGGACATCTGGGTTGATTCTATATCTTAGCTATTGTATATTAAGTTGCAATAAACATGGGGGTATACATAACCCTTTAATATGCTTATTTCATTTCCTGTGTGTAAATTCCCAGGAATGGGATGGCTGGGTCATATGGTAGATCTATTTTCAGATTCCTGAGCAATCTCCATACTTTCTTCCATGATAGTTGTACTATTTTACATCACCACCAACAGTATATTAGGGTACCTCTTCCCTCACCTCCTCACCAGAATTTATTGTGTTTTGATTTTTGGATGATAGCCATTTTAATGGGGTGAGGTGAAATCTCCTTGTGGTTTTTCTTTCCATTTCCCTGATAGCTAGTGATCCTGAGCTTTTTTTCACATGTCTGTTGGACATTTGAATTTCATCCTTTGAAAAATGCCTATTCATGTCTTTTGTCCATTTCTTGATTGAATTGATTGTTTCGTTGTTGCTGAGTTTCTTGAGCTCTTTATAGATCCTGGATATTAATTCTTTATCAGTTGCTTAATTTTCAAGTATTTTTTCCCATCTGTCAGTTGCCTCTTCCCTTTGTTGAGTGTTTCCTTTGCAGTACAGAAGCTTCTTAGTTTGATTAATCTCATTTGACTATTTTTGCCTTCATTGCTTGTGCTTCTGAGGTCTTTTCCAAGAAGTCTTTGCTTCTGCCAATGTCTTGCAGTTTCCTGATATTTCCCCTAGTAATGTAATGGTATCGGGTCGTAGGTTTAGATCCTTGATCTATTTCAAATTGATTTTTGTATAAGGTAAGAGTCTTGTTTGTTACTTCTGCATGCATAGATAGAATTTTCCCAGCAGCATTTGTTGAAGAGAATTTCCTTTCTCCAGAGATTGATTTTAGCTCGTCTGTCAAAGAGTAGTTGGTTGTAGATGTGTGGATTAATTTCTGGGGTTACTGTTCTGTTCCATTGGTCCTATAAGGTCAGTACCATTCACAATAGCTACAAAAAATTTTAAATACCTTGGAATATATTTAACCAAGGATGTGAAATATCTTTACAATGAAAATTACAAAACATCGAAGAAATAGAAGACACAAAAAATGTAAAAATTTTCCACATTCATGTATTGAAAGAATTAGTATCAACAAAATGCCCATACTATCCAAAGGAGTAAAATTTAAAGATGAAGTTAATGTTACAGACAAGTGTTCTATTTTGTTTTTGCTTATTCTAACTCTGGAGTATTCTAAGTCTATTCAGAACTTACATAAGAACTTGGATAAGTAGACTTGAGGGTAAGCATGTACTCTGCTCTCCTGTTCCCCAAAGCCATTTTTGTTGGGAGGGATCCTGGTTAGGAACTTGACTTCCTATGTATGGAGACAGAAAGAGCCATATCCTTTCTCTTATTTGTGCCCCAGTTCAGTTCCCTCCTTATGAACTTCAAGCAACCAGTTATCATAGGTTAAATTTTATATTCAGGATTACGAAATTCCCTTAACTTAGATGAATTAAAAGTTAAATTAAGTAGGTAACTGCATATATCTTAAATCCATGGTAGTTCTTTTTACTGTCATTTTTCTGGCTGAGAGCTCCTCGTTTCTCCTTTCTTCTTTGTTTTATAGAGATATTAAAAATGGTTGACGTAATTATTTAAATAAAATACCAGCCTGGTATGTTAAGTCAAATGTATCATCATTAGCAATTTCAACCTTGCTTTTTATATAGAAATTCTTTGTTGAGATATAAAACCATCTATACTTATACAAAGCAGATATAACCATGTTTCACATACATAATGTACATTATTTCTCATACTTAAAAAGTGTTTTCTTTTAAGCACTAGCTGCTGATACTAAATCATAGCTAATTCACTCTCTTTTCTTGGGCATTAAAGTTACTTCTCTGTCTGAGCCCTGGATGAATGTTGCTCCTCCCTGAGCCCCGCTAAGCCCAACACAGATTGTTCGATTCCTGCTGCTCTTTTGCCTCTCTAGTTTTCCAGTTTCCATAGCTTCATGAAAAAGCTTTGGCGTATTGTTCTGTTCAGATTTTTCTTTAATCTTCCATAATCTACCATTTTTTTTTCTAAAAACTCCAAGTCTTTTTACATCTAGACCAGCCGCATACATCTTCCCAGAGTTTCCATTCTCCTGTTCTGTGGACACCCATACTCCCTTCAGGGGCCTCTGCTTGGGAACCCTTCCCCTTTGACACTCCTTTTTTTCCTAAAAA